CCCGGTTTTCACGAGGGGCAAAAAAGAGGGGGGGGTACCCTTAATAAGCGGAAAAGGTTCTCGCATAAGAACAGAAAAACAGGTTTAGTTAAACATAATACAGCATAAATGAGAAAATAATGCCAGAAAGAGTAAAAAAATAGTTCACTTTTTGAGCAGCATACAAGAAAAATGTGTAAATAAATGAAACAAATATTAGTACAAAAGCATGCGTCAGATTAGAGAGGGTTGAGCTAGCTAGTACCACTTAGAAAATCTAATCTTCGATGAAGTAATCAACCGCAGCTCAACTCAACTACATGGTTGAGGAGATAACAAAAAAAGGCAGAAACCAGAAATGCCATAAATGGCACACGAATAAACATACAGAATTAAGAATAATGGTAGGTAGATAGATAGCACACACGAAAGAAGAGAAATCTCTCTTATAGCCTAAAAAACATAAGTACTTGGCTGACAGAATGCAAGTAAATTTACTTTAAAATTTACTAAAAAGTCAAATACTTATTCCATTTATCTTCATTTTGTATTTTGTACGTATTCTGCAGCCATACTCTACTGTTGTATCAGCAAACACATGCACGGCTACTAAGTTTGTTCAACTCCGTAGAAATATATAAGTTTATTTTATAAATGTATAACGATTGATATTGTGGTGTTCATATACAAGTGGTCAATGCAAAAGAAAAGAGTGACTGGCTTGTCCAAGTATTTGGCTGAAGCAAGTCAAGTAACGACACTAGACAAGTTCTTGATCAAATACTTGGCAAGCGCTTAACTTGTCACGTGCTTCCCAAGTACTCATATATTAGTCGAGTTTTGTTATAATAACAGTTGTATCAGAAGTTAGTGACATCTAGCGTTTAATACACATTCTTCGTCAGTGTTTTGATTGTTAGTAGATTGGTCTAATTATGAGCCAATCATGCAACCGCACTGGAACATCGTTGTCGTGCCGATTTACGTAACAACGGTTCACGCGGTATCTTGGCTGTAACAGTCTAATTCATGCAAATGCGTAGTCAACTACAGAACGTTCGAATAAGAAATTTAAAAAATATTATTACAGCTCTTTTCACTCCACAATATTCTAGATGTACTCTACCAACAATACAATACAACGGAGAGAACGCCTCATTTAAAACACATTTTTGAACTAAGAGGGCACTTAAGATTTTTACTGAATCGACACCTTTCCTTTTTGAAAAAGGCTAATAACAAAGTTGCTGTTGTTGGTTGTCGAATATATAGTCTGACTCAATCGCTCTAAGACATGAAAAAGAATAATAAAATCAACAGTTTGATAGAAATTTTAGAGAATTGTTTTCTTAAGATTTGCTCATTATCAAATAATCTATACAGCAAGTATTATTAGAAAAAACTCAGTTAACAAATAAGAACGATTCGAGTATGTATTGTTGGATACAATGATACATAATCTTGCTGCTGGATTCGTATTTAACTTGAACCTGAGACATTTATATCATAAAAAATTTAATTTTTTTTAAATATTGATATTTATTCACTATATAGTATTATATTAAAAAAATAAACTATTCAATCCCTTTCATTCTTTATGTACTGTAGTATGAATATTTGTTTTTTACTTCCACGATTGTTTGTAGCAATGCATGTAACTGTACGATTGTTTCGTGTATACATTTCATTTGGTATATATTGATATTCATTCGTGAATGCTAATGGTTTTCTAGAATCTGGTTGATTAACAATAATACCATCATACCAGATAAAAGTTGGATTTGGGTTACCTTTAAAACAATAAGAGATACATTTGTTAAGGGATTACTTTGTACAAAATCTTTAGAAATGTTTTAACTATTTTTGATTAATTCTTGTTACCTCCAATTGAACATTTCACAATATTGACAATATTTTTCTCAACTTGTAAAACAATGTATTCGGTTTGCAAAGGTTCAATATAGTAGGGTGCATCTTTTAAGCAAAAAAAAGACAACAATAGAATTCATTGTTCGTAGCTTACGCTGTTCCTTTACCGAATACTTCTAATTCAATGTTTTGCTGTAATGAAACAGGTCTCCCTTCCATAGTATTTACATCACAAATGTAGACACCATTATTGGATTGATTTGTATATTGAATACGTAAATAATCCTGACCAATCTGAGGTGAATAATTATCGTTTTCAAGTGATTGTTCATTGGGTACAGTAAATGCAAATTGTGACAATGTATCGGTATAGATTGGACACAATAACGTTGTCTGATCACCAACGTCGGCATAGAAATGTGTTTCACGCATTGGAACTCGACGTGGCCCACCTGTTAAGGAAAAACTGATCAATTTCAAGATTTTTTACGTAACGGTGATCTATGATAAACGTACCACCAACAGTGAGAAAAAAAACTCTTATACCAATGAGATCATTTTTTAATCGAACGACACACTCGTAATGTCCTTCGTTCTCATGTCCTACATCATGTATTTGTAATCGTCGTGTTTTTTGTACAATACGTTCATAATGTTGTACAAACTGAATATGAAAACTTTCAATGTCTGCTTTTTTGTACTGAATTGTACGATCTGGACCGCATAGTGGACCATTAAAATTGTAACCTGTTAATGTTTGACCATAACCTTCAAATTCAAGATTAATTAACTCTGTTGCTAAACGTAAAAAGAAAAAGATTGATTAAATATTCTAGAATAAAATAATGAGAGTCTACTCACGATCATTTGTTAAAATAAAATACTTTTCATCAACAATTTTATTTTCCTTTCGTACTTGACAAATATAAATACCTTCATGATTAATATTAAATGATTCGATAATTAATTCGGTTTGATTTATGATTTCATCTGTGCCATCGTAACGATGAATAATCCATATTATCAATTCAAAACTTTGATCGATTAATTTCTTGTTATTATCCGTTTCACATAAATATTGTAAACGTTCACCTTGTTGAACAAAGTGTTTTGGCAACCATTGGTTTATAATTAGAGATTTTTCTAGAACAAAAAAGCATCATTTAGTTTCATTACATACGTGCTACGCAACAAAAATATTGTACGAGTATATTGTATCACATAAAAACGTGGTGTATGAGGATAGTTTTTATACAAATTTCATAAGTAATTGAAAAAATTGATACTTTTTTTCTGCTCCAAAATTCTATTTTGCGAGATATTAGTATCAAATAAATTTAAAGTTGTGATGATGAAAGTTTGAAGAATAATGATCATTGTTGTCTATTCTAGATTATTTAAAAACGTTGGAACTATTTAAATTCATTAATTGTTCACCATTACTTAACAAGGTGATTTCAAGCATAAAACATATGCCAAAACGAAAAACGACCACTACTACTACTACATCGTCACCATCAAAAAAGAGATTGCCATCCTATTTGAATTTTGATCATGAAAAATATCAATGGAAACCAGATATTAACTATCGTCAACATCCTGAATTATGTAAGTGAATCGTATAGTTAATTTAATTGATTGTCTCTTCAATACAAGATATACTTTGTATATTTTGTATGTTTTAGATCGAATTGGTCGTGGTGAACAAGGTGTATTAACGTGTCAACCGTACAAAGATGAAATATGTCCACATTGGCGTTTTAAAACGGTTGATATTGCTGAAAAATCAGCGACAACAATTTATCAATTATTTTTAAATTATCTTGATAAAAATGATTTTGTTGGTGCTGATTTAGCAAGAAAATTTTTACAAATGGGTTTTACAAGATCAAGACGTTATGCTAACCATTCATCGGGAACAAAATATGATAAAAATACCTATGATATATTACCAATAAATAAAGAAACATTAGTATGTGAAAAAGCACAAACAGCTGAAGTATTTAAAAAAAAATGGTTTGAAGCAAAAGATAATGAAAAATATAAAGAATTAGCTGCACAACATCGTCAACTATATGAGCAGAAATTGATAAAAAAAGCACAATTAACAACTGCTGATATAAAAGATTGTGACGATGACGACAAAGGTCGTAAATCAACGAAACGATCAAAACAAAAAGTTGGTAAACGTAAAGTTTCGGACACCGTTAGTGATGAAAACGACGAGTCTCATTAAAAGAAAACCCAATATTTTCATCCTTCATCTAGTCATTTTATTTTGTTTTCTCTCTTATTACTGATGTTATGTCTAAAGTTAGCTACTCTGTTGATTTGTTTGTATTGTATTGTACAGATCTCTTTGTTTAATACTCGAAATTAATCAAGAAGAAAAGAGTTATTTTAATAAGATGAGATGTCCTGATAAGTTGGATGTTCTGTAAATGAAGTAAAACTGATGAAAAGTTTTCAGAAAGGAGCGGTACATTCTCTTCTCTCGTGCAAAAATAAAATTTATTGTTATTCGTCAGAAATAAAGTGCTATTTAAGATATATAGGTTACTCCGTCAGAAGATTTTCAGACGTATATTACGAAGACATTTACAAAATAAAAAGTCAGCAGAATAAAGATAAACTTCAACTCTTCCGTTTCCTTCCGTAGGAAGATAACGAGAAAGTCCTAACTCTAACCTCACGAGAAGACATAATATGATTTCTATTGAAAATAAGGCATAATATAGCTAAAGTATTCTTACGCCCTTTGAACTGTGAGATAGCTGTTGATAATATAAATGTGTAAAGAATATTATGCATTTTTTTTGCAACGATATTTGATAAATTAATATTGAATATGCATGTGTAAAAATCAATCAGTACACATCGTTATTGTTTTGAATCATAGTCTAACGTTTCTTCTACTTTCTTTTATTACAATTATGAATAGTAATATTTTTCTCAATATTTAGATATTATTTTTGTATTCTGATTCGTTGAATTGTTATACTACCAATCGGCGCCTATTTTCGTTTTTAAGCTAGGTTACTTCAACTATTTCAAATATTAAACGATACTTCAGAGCTTTAATTGATAATAAATTGACCAGCTATTCGGTGCTAATCCGTAGGTACACATTGTCTCAAGTATCGTATTGATTTTAACAAAATCACATAATTTTTCGTTGTTATCAAAGTCTTTTAACACTTTTATGAGCATACATTAGTAAGGAGGCTCTAATTTTACTTATGATAATTTAAAAACTTAGTTTATCTTCTTAATACACACATATATTTCAAAACAGCACAAAAAACGACAACATAGCAGCACGTGGACAAAAAAACACATTGTTTAGTTTACTGTACTTTCAGCATTATCTTAAGATTCAAATAAAAAAAGAGTAGAAAATCAAATAACAGAAAAAAATGTTGAGGAAGCAAAAATAATGATAATAATCTGAAAACACGGTGTATTCAATTTTTCTTCAGACAGAAAAATAAGCAGTAAAACGAAATATATAAACTTGTATATAATGAAACAACAAAGGTTTTAGTCTATTCAACAATGTAGGACGGACCTTCTTGTTTTACTTGTTATATTCTTTACGAAAAGTCGTCAAAACGAATATGTATTGAGACAAAGAATATGGATGATCCAAAACATAGGAAAATATCTGATTGTTATCAATTGAGTGTAAAAAAAATACCAGTGGAACATACGTTTTTATCTATCTTTTTTTTACAATATAATAAAATAAAATAAAAAATGCAAAACAAATCGATTAGCGAAAGTTTTTATGTACAATAGCACCGTTGTTTTCGTTATTGTTGTTCGACGTTGATTGTGCCTATTAACTAATGACCTATAGGACTTATGTCTGTCGTGGCTGCTTTGACTTATTACAGCATAATACAACGGCGAATATAAACGCAAGAAGCTAAAATAAATAAAATAAAATAACATGAAGTTATTCATAATATTAATTTGTACAATCAGACTGATCAAATACTTTTCGACTGTCTTCCCTTTTTTTTTCATACAAACGCACTTTCAACTCTTCTTATAGGCACCTAGTACGATGTTAAAAGCGGTCAAATGAGATCCTGAATATGATCACGAGTTAAAATGGAAACTTTTCAATCAACTAATCTCGTTCTCTCCAACATCTTGTATAACAACTATTAAAACGCGCGAAGTTTAGAATTGAAAAATTCTATAATCAAAGTTTATAAGTGCTACATCCAACATTAAGACATAGAAATGTTAACTCACTTCTATGACAAGAACAGCAACTGCTCCAATAATAATGTACAATTTGTGAGAGACAATTATGTCTAGTAGTTTATCATAACAACCCTGTAAAAAATAAAGTTAATATTACATAAACGAAGTTTTGAAAGTGACTTACAGTTTGATAAACATCCGTTCCATCCACAGCACATTGTTGTGCTTTCATAAGTGTTTCTTCGGACAATGTGGTCCAGTCTTGTGTCCAGGCGTTTCCCATCGGACCTAATACATAGGAAGGTAGTGTGTTGTATATTAATAAGGAATTACTGAATGGGAAATACTGATATCATCTCAACTTTTATAGGTCAAACAAAATGAATAATAACTTACAGCATGTCAGTGGATACTTGAAGGATTGTTCTGGGATCCATGGATTTATTTTGTTCCACTTAGGTGTATTTCTAAAGTCTGTTGAATTGTGAGCACCGCAACATTTCAACTGCAGGAAGAAGAAAAACAAACTTTCTACCATGCCAAAAACAATAGAAGAAGAAAACTTACATTGTACATAATAAAATCCCATGCTAAACTAACCGCACCAGGTTCATTCTCTTTAATTGGAGGACCTTGATAACCTTTTGAAATTGATTCTTGTAGTTTTGGAACAAATTGTTCTTTGAATTTTGATTGAAATGAAACGATGTAGATAGTTAATGCTACTTCAACGATTATAATTATTCCAACAAGAATTGAATACTATTAAAAAACCCAAACTAGTGTTCATTCTTAAATATTTAAAACATCATCATAGATCGTTCACTTACCACTGTGAGCAGACATATCGATCGTCTCATTGCACCGCAACATCCACAAAAACCAAGAATGAACAAAATCGAACCAAGAACCACAACTACTATGGCAATCATTGTAATGTAAGAGAAACCTTGATCAAGATAGGAATCTGATCAGGAAAATAAAGAGAAACAATAATACAATATTGAACTTGTTGGTTGATATACAATGACTTACTGTTGGTATTGATAGGTAGCAAAGCTTTTATTTTCTGGAACTTTGGATCGACCATTACATAAATTCCGAGAGCAAGCAGAGCTGCTCCAACCAACTGAAATAAAATCATTTTCATTAAATGTGACAAAGCAGTGTTCAATAAAAATAACATAAATATAAGTCTTAGATTCTTTCATTCATCTCTAATCTCGCAAATGTCTTTAATTTCATATCTATGTTGAGCAGATTATGAACAAGTAATGTTAAACTTACAAAAAATAAAACATTGAATACCACCATAATAATTTGAATTAATCTTATACCGCAGCTCATACTACTGCGTCCACTACCAAATGCCATTTTTAGAAGATTTTTCTTCTTTTTTAAATTTTAAATCTAAAATGAAAGTTTTAGATAGAGACTAAACGCTATTTTTAATTTCACAAATAACATTTTGATCATCATTTTTAATACGTGTGAGTAGAAACATATGTTACATCTAACTTAACAAAATGAACAAAAAAACATTTGTCCAAAACAAAATTGTATGCTAAATGAAACTTTATGTGTCATTAGTGTACTACATTTGTCTAACTTATCTTATTAAAAAAAAATAATTCATAATTTGAATACAAACTTTATGTTAAAATACTTCTCTGATGAAAAATTTAATAGTTCAAGGATAAAAAAAATAAAAATTAATAAATATATATTTTTTTAAAAGTAATATAACTAAATAAATAATATATATAACCTACGTACAGCAATAAAAAGAAAAACTTATCTATGATGACACATGTTTAGTTTTAGCATGACATAGATAAGAATTATTCTTTCTAGATATACTTATAAAGGAAAAAAATTTGTATGACTAATATATTTGATCACGGTTACATCGACGTCACTAAACCGTTGCTACCAAAACAGCAAATATATTGTACAAACTGCCATTGATCATCTCTAACTTTTTTCAAGATGGTGAGCCTTCTAGCAATGATGTGTTTGACAAAATATATGATTAGTTTTAGATAATAATTGAATTTTTTTATTCAATAAAATTTATTTTCAAAGATAGTATCGATAACACTTAGCATAATAGAAGAATACTCTTAATATTTTGAGTTTTATTAAAAAACATAACTAACTCATCGATATTTTTAGTTCAGAAAAAAAACAAAAGATTTTTCTTTAGATTTATTAACTAAATGAAAGAGGTGAAAATATTCTCAAATTTTGAATCATATTTTCTCGCCATCTGGCTACAAAATAAGAATGTCTATCTCTAACAGAGGTCATTGTCTCAACTCTTATGCATGTTTTGTCCCATATATATGTCACGGATAAAATAAAAACAAATGATGAATGTAAGAATTCAGTAAATAACACTGTGATGTCTATTTACCTGACATTCCCAATGTAGACAAATTTGTGTTTAAAATACAAAATTTGATTTATACGTACTTGCACGTATGCACATAAAAGAAAATGTCTTTTTGATATTAGTATAGTGCTGTACTACCACCAACAAGATCATCATCTTCAAAAAAACAAAAACGAAAAAAAAAGAAGAAAATAATCTATATAACGGAAAAAGTTTTTTTATTTCATATCTGTTTAACAATAGGTTAGAGTGAAAAGAGAAGCGAAGAAAAAAAATCTATTTTACAATTAACACCGTAACTAAGATGTGAACCTATGGTGCTTAGAATAGAATGGAATATGTATGATCACTCTGCAGCAACAAACACGAAACATAAAATGACACATTTTTTAGCACACACACAGTAAAAGATTTTCAAAATCATGATACACCCTCCATGTCGACCTTTTCATAGAGGAGAGGAAAAAAGACTGAACATATTCACTTAGAAAATAAAATTGAATGCAAGATCAAAAATCAAGGAAACGAACACAATATTGGCATTTGCTGTTATATAATCTCATATTTTATTCTCTTACTCTACCTTTCAAATGAATTATTTCTCTAACTAAACTAAGACAACGATATGTTGACGTGTGAACAAAAGAGGGAGGTGTAAACTATAGAATAGACCAGAGAACTATGTTTAGTGCCCTATATATATAAAAAGTAGAATGGAATAGAAATTTATTCATCATTCAATTGGTGACGATAGTAAAATGATTGTACACATTCATGTTTAATATGGGAACAAAAATCGCACACATACATACACTTGTTACGTCATCCACTAGAGAAAATTGACAGTTATTCCAGAGCACGCCCTTAAATATCTCTTTCTTATAGTCTATTACTGATTCAGAAATCATATTTTATTTTTACATGACATTTTTGCTTTATGTATGTTTTTACCCTAGTAAAATTGTTTTCACTAGTAGAAAGAACTCTTTTCTTCTTTTTTTCAAAAATGATAACAGTTCGAAGTCAATCGTAGTGTGAGAATCGTACTCATGGAAACGTACTAACCTGTCATATACTTCTTACCTTGAAAATGTAACTAACAACAGTTCAGATCAATTAGTCGACAAAGAAAAAGATGATAGCAAATGATCAGAATGGCTTAAGAAGAACAATAGTTTAAAGATTGAGTAGTGTGTGGTATCCTCTCTGTGTCAATCGTTTCAATAATCCACGCTTAAGTATCAGGTGAATTCAATAAGAACATACCTAAATAGAAGAACTACACAATTTAGTTAGCCGTTTTCTTTTTTTCTTTTATTATAGCAAATTCCATCTGTTATACAAATAAATATCTTTTTTAAATCTTTTACCCTTCTGTTCTAGTTGTACCTACGAAGAAAATAGATGTAAAGAAAGAGAGTCATATAAAAAACATTTAGCCACTAAGTTTATCTAAAAAATTTAGCACAACACAGTTAAATATTTCTTAATATAGTTGTAATAAAACGATTCTTTTTGAAAAAAATGAATACAATGATTGTATGACAACCTGATAAATTTCTTTAATCCATCGAATAATGAACAAGTCTAGAAGAGATGAAAGATGAACAGTTTCTACTGTTCTTTTCGATTAAGAGAGACACTACCTTCTGGAAAAATAATCAGAGGAACAGGTCTAGTTGTGGAATTTAGATCTGGAGTACGTGCTATTATTTGTAACGACTCTTTAATCAATAGACAATAAGGATTTGTGTTTTTCGAAAGAATTTTGAAATCCTGCCATTTTATATGGTGATTTTGTTCACGTTCATGTTTACAGACTGCAGATTTAGAATCGCAATGATTATCTAAATTTAGATTATCGTATTTATTCAATTATGAATCATATATTGTAAGACAAGTGGCGAGAAGATTTGAGGAACATGGACATAAAACAGAGATTACTCAAACTCCTATTATAAATAACAATCTAACTACTACGACAAATACACAAGACTTAAGATGTTCAAAAAGACACAGACAAAAACCAGATCGTTATGGATTTGATAAAGAAGAAGATATATCCGAGGAGAAGACGGGGAATAATGATAATCTAAATTTAGATGATCATTGCGATTCTAAATCTGATGAACGTGAACAAAATCACCATATAAAATGGCAGGATTTCAAAATTCTTTCGAAAAACACAAATCCTTATTGTCTATTGATTAAAGAGTCGTTACAAATAATAGCACGTACTCCAGATCTAAATTCCACAACTAGACCTGTTCCTCTGGTTATTTTTCCAGAAGGTAGTGTCTCTCTTAATCGAAAAGAACAGACAAAAGTCAAAATAAAACGACGACATTACGATAGTCAAAATTTATCTTTTCTTTAGACACATTAGTGTACAGTTACGCGTGTCTACTATACTAAATATGATTCACTCTTGTGTAGAGACCTGCATGGACAATTTTTTTTTGTCCATGTCCGTCTATGTCCATGGACAAAAGTTTTTTTTCTGTCCATGTTCGCGTTTTTTAAATACGTTTTGCGTATGAGAATTAGAGACCTGCATGGACAATTTTTTTTTGTCCATGTCCGTTCATGTCCATGGACAAATTTAAAAAAACTGTCCATGTCCATGGACATGTCCATCTAATGCAGGGCTCTACTCTTGTGTTTTTCCTGTACTTCAATTTCATTTTAATCTGTTAGTCTTGTTGATTGTGATTCAATGTTTTAGATTTCTTGATAATGAAACCATAGTTTCGAAAACTCGAAATAAAATTGGATTGAGTTTATTCGCTGCTGTTAAAGCTCTACTATTTATACAGATATCTTATAGAGATATCTCTCTTCAGATAAGATGCAGACAAGTGTGTAGACATTTTTTCGTCTCAGCGCGTCGATTGAAACGAAAGAGAACGGAAAGATATGCATGTGCGAAAAGAGATATCTCGTTATTTGCTAGTGCTCTACTATTTGCTACAAAAAGTATGCGCGTTTTTTCCTGAATAACAAGACGAAGTCTCATATGAATTGACTTTTCCAATCTTTTCGATTAAAAAAATTATTTGTTCAGTTTGAAAACTTCTGACTGTAGGTTGCACGTGGTATCGATTCTGCATGCGTTTAGCGGTTAAAAATTGAATTCAGCTTTTGTCCTAGAAAAGGCATTATCTTTTCATCTTCTTTTGTAGAAAATAAAAATAGTTGTCAGTTGCAATATACGGTACTCTATGTGTGTGTATGTGTGTGTGTGTGTTCAATTTATTTTGAAACGGTTTGCATGTAGTTTTTCTGAATTTTTTATGAGTACAAAAGGATCTGATAAATCCTTTATAATTATTTGATAAATATCTGTAACATATCAAAAAAGAAATTTTTCTCTATTCTTTGCTATAGATTTCAATTAATCGATTAGTTTAAAAACTGTTCATCTCTTCTAGACTTATTCATTATTCGATGGATTAAAGAAATTTATCAGGTTGTCATACAATCATTGTATTCATTTATTTCAAAAAGAATCGTTTTATTACAACTATATTAAGAAATATTTAACTGTGTTGTGCTAAATTTTTTAGATAAACTTAGTGGCTAAATGTTTTTTATATGACTCTCTTTCTTTACATCTATTTTCTTCGTAGGTACAACTAGAACAGAAGGGTAAAAGATTTAAAAAAGATATTTATTTGTACAACAGATGGAATTTGCCATAATAATTGATTGATGTTTTTTGATTTAGTGATTCAATGTTTTAGATTTCTTGATAATGAATGCTGTTAAAGCTCTACTATTTATACTAAATTTTTATCATAATCTATTCAGATAATTAGCTATAATCTCGGAAAAATTCGTTTTATTAGTATATATTGTGTAAATAAAGCCCTGTAATAAAGGTATAACAAGTTTGGAGCTGTTATACGAGTTTTGGACGAAAAATTAATCAATCACTACTCTCAACGTATTGGCAAGCTAATTTTACAGCACAATTAAACTGTCGCTTAGTCATGAGAGAATAAAATAAATAACTAGATTGCAATTATACTGTGCATAATTTCCGATGTCGACAGACTCTGTCTTAGCTGGCACGTGTCAGAAAATTTCCACTACATAATTTTACTATGTTGTCAAGAACAGAGAAAGAATATGAGAGAGAATTATTTTTCTTCTGTTGAACAAGGGTTTTTCGGTTAGACTTCGAAGATGTCTAGGACATTCAGGTATATGACGATGTTTGACAGTTATTTGTTGTGTTACGCTCACTATAGTCAGTAGCTTTTCTTGTTTAATGAAGCTTAAAAGGGACGAATCAATAATCTCCTAAATAAGAAATTAGCGTTTGTTCTTTCTTCTTATTAGAGAACTAGCAGATAAGGGGATACCTCTTTTCGCACACGCATATCTTTCCGTTCTCTTTCGTTTCAATCGACGCGCTGAGACGAAAAAATGTCCGCACATGGGATGTCTTATGCAGAAAGAGATATCTCCTTATTTGCTAGATTCCTATTGTGAATATTCCAATCGTTTCAATAACCAATATAGGTTTATAACTCCTTAGACTAATATCTCTTCTCTTTTCAAATCACAAATCTTCGTTTTTGTTCTTTTTTTCTTCTTTCTTCTCTCTTCTACTACAATTCTCTTCTCAGCAGTTCTGAATGTCATTCTATTTTCATCCAAAATAAAAACCCATAAAAATGGCGCCGGACAACTAGCTCTCATAAACATACGCAGAATTTCATAAGAGACACTCTAAGATTGAAAAACCGCTATAGCAGAAAGTGTGAGTAACTTCATCATTGGATGTCCACAGAAGAGGTTTACGTCAACGTCTAAAGCAAAATAGTTTTTTTATTAAAGACAGAAGGACATTTTATTCCTCTATATCTTTTACATTAAATCATGGATTTCGTATTCAGACGTGCTACATGGTAAATATGAAAACTCTTTTTTTATGAATCACGATCACTCAAAAACTTTATGAAAATTTTTCTCCTGAGTTATGCAAAGAAACAATAATAAATGTTCTTCAAAATAAAGAAAATCCGTTTTTTTATGCGAAAAGAAAGAATGAGTACATATTTATAGACATATCATATATATATATATATGAATGATTTGTCACAATCCTTGGCATCTGTAAGCACCACTGTTGCTGATGCATATTGGGTTTATGTCAACACTGTAACATATAACATTCTACAGTTATTGATGGAATGTTTATCTGCAAGTGGTTTTAGTTATCGAAAGTGAAGCGTTCACCTATTAGCTACAGCTTTTATTGAAATAACATAAAAACTCAACTGAGTATTACTACTAGCATACATGGAGCCTAAGAGTCACTGCACGCGAAAGACATCAGTGCACTCCCATTCTCAAATTTCGTTGGAATTCTTAGCGATGTCGGTTCTTTTTCATTCTTCATAATTCAAGAGTCAGACCTTTTTCGTCCGAAGATACAGGTATTATACTACGTACGTGTACGATGTAAAAGTATCAGAACATCACAGATACCATGAAATATTACATGTAACTAGCATTAACTGTCCGTCCTCCTCATCTCTAACTTTCAATGAAAAATTTTGTTTCAAAAAACGAATTCGCATAGAAAGTTGCTGCCTAAAAATGACTAAATGATATCACATTGTTAATTCATAAATTTATTTAATTTCGAAGTTATATCACTAGTATTATTAAGAGAGCTATCTGTATCTGCTTAGCCTATCAATTATTATTACAAATTAAATGAAATTGAGATCAACAGTGATAATCATCAAACAAAGAAATAGTGTCTACTAATTAATTTATAATTTGTACAAAATCCATCGAACATATTGAGATTATTCAACTATTATATACGAGATCGTTAAAAGAATGGATGGGAGGACCGCTGCAGTTTATCTACAAACAAAAATTGGTATAATACAACGGTCACAGTAGGTTACGAGATAACGAAAATACATGTTGATAAAAAAGTTAATGAATTTTTTTTCATGTTTGAATGTTCTTTTTTAAAGCACTTTTTTATTAATTAATCAAACAATCACACAATAATCCACAACTTAACCACTTTGTTTCTGTTGTCGTGCACGTAAAACGTTTCGAAAATCCATTTGTTTTGTTTCATTTGGTATTTTGCGACGCAATGTTTGATTGATATCTGGTTCATAACCCGTTTTTCTTAGACCTGCTTTTAAATTACGAACATCTGTTTTTGCTAATATTATATTTCCTACTTTAAGACTCGATGTACTTGAACTTGAATCACTAGTAGCATAAGTTTTTTTCGTTAATAACAAGTCACTACTCCTATTGTTATCAGTTACGGTATATTCATGTTCATATGATGATTCTAGATTATTTGAACTTTTCAATATTGGAAAATCAGCACCATTGGTCTCTGCTAACAATGCTGAATCAGTAGTCGTTGGATGACTATTATCTTTCATCATAAATTTTTGTTGACTTAACGAACGTCGTGGTAAACTTAAATACGTATTTGTCTGATCATTATGAGATGGTTTTCTACAAAAATAGAAAAAAAGTAAAAATTAGATTTTAGAGTATTGAGTACATACGTTTGACGGGATAATATAAGTTTTAATTCTTCTACTGGATTTGAGAAGGCAATTGGTTCCGAGAGTTGACGCTTATAAAATGGATTTACTACTGCTTCTGATTTTGGTGTAAATGTTTGAAAAAATTCTGGTGGTGGATATGGTGGTGCTTTTGGTATTGAGACAAATTGAGGTTGTTCGTTAACAATTATCGATCTACGTTTCACATTTTGTTCATGCTGTTGTTTTTTCTTGTATTCTTTATGAATTTCATCATAATAACGACTTGTTGTAACACGTCTTCTACTAACAATATTTGATTTTTTTGGTCGTTGTTGTTTTTCTTCATTATTCAATTTAATATCATTTTTAGTAATTATTGATAATGAAATTTGATTTTTATTAATTTGTATTGTTAATGGTTGACTAATTAATGCTAAATATAACTCATTACCAAATAGTTCAACTTGTTTCATATAATATGATATATGCATATGATTGTTTAATCGATTTAATTTTAAACGTTCATAAATTGTTTGCGCTTTCCACATTCTCCAATATGTTTGAATTAATAATGTTGCTTTTTGTGTTGCTTGTTGTTTATTATTTATTTGTCGTCTTGTTAACCATCCACGCACGGATGCTTGAAGTAATAATGCCGCTCTTTCACTTTCACTTTTTATTTCTTCTTTTATCAATTGTTTATAATATTTTCTTGTTGATTTCATTCGGATATGTGATTGTATAAATATAATTGATGATATAAGGTGTTTGTACATTGATATTAGACGTTCCATATGATAAAATTTTAAAAATACTTTTGTTTTTCCAATAGCATAATGATTAAAATTCAATTTTTTCAAAATTTCATTGCATGTTTGACCATTAGATGGTAACGTATGATAATCAGTTGTAAATTTATAAGCAAGTACAGCATACAATTGAATAAACTCTCCAAATACTATTCGATGTGAATAACCATGATTTCGTATTTGAATTGTCTCCATTATACCAGAATATTGAATTTGTTCAAGAACAACTTTTTCATCAAATAAAACATAGGTAGTATCATTTTCGTTGTTTATAGAGTGAGAATGTTCTCTATTCGGTAATAAACAACGAACAAATGTTGGCTGTGCCGGGGCTATTCTACTAATTAATTCCATTAAAGAGTATCGAAAATATGTTGATACTGTGGCTTGTGTACGATTTTGTGTATTTATTAACATTTGTTTACTATTTACTGTACGAAATACTTTATTTTCTTCTTGTTTTTGACTAGTAGTATATGATATACTACCCGTTTTTCGCAAACGACTTCGAAATAAAAGATTAATTAAATGATTTTCACTTGTTATTAATAGTTCACTTATTTCCATTGGTAAATAGTCACGATTTTTTTCTAAAAAACTTCCTGCATTATATTCAATTGTTCCAGCATAATGTTTGATAATAAATAATGGTTGTTCTTGTAGCGTAGATATACGTTGACCTTTTTTAAGTGTATTAGTTGATGAAACAGAAAAATAAGGTGATGTCAAATTTTGTCGCCACTTTTCAATTAATGTTTGAGAATTCGATTGAGGAAAACGACTTTCTTCATCGAGTAATGCTAATAAACCAATAGGTTTAGCCAAAAACATATCTAATATACCACGATTATCGGGAAAATTAATTTGATCAAAATTAATATTATTTGATTGTTCAGATTGCTCCATACTATCAGTACCTATATCAAACTCGAATAAATCAGAATTTATACTGTGTATAAAACAAAACTTGACTCTCTTTTTCTACTCGAAAAAATATCGTTTTCTTTCTCGTCTATCCATGTGGAAAGTTTATTCAAATTTATGGCATTAGGATCATGGAGTTGTAACATCAAATACATGGTCATGCAGGAGCTGTCCATAATTTCAAATGTGTTCCGAAGTGAGAATTTTGCATATGTCCATAAATCATTTTACAACCTTCACTCGTGACTGTCCAAGCAAATATCATGGAAAAAATCTAGATACATTTCGTCTATAATCGGGCGATAGGAACTTTTAACTAGATGCGTCTGCAGGTGCATCGAGTAATAATTAAATCGATCGATTATCGGGTGATAAATCGATAGTTGCAACTAGAAAAAATCTAGTAATCTAGATGAATCGGGCGATACTAGGTTTTTTTTTTGACGCTTGGGGGAACACTTTTGTACTATTCACAGTGTACATCTCTAAATATGGTGAGATAAACTAAAGATACCCATGAACATCGTAAAATGGTGTGTGACTACGCAAAATTAACATCTCTGACAGGTATGAACCGTTCACAAAATCTTTTCTTATATTTTTTGTACACACCCAAGGGTAAAAAAAAAGTCTAGTATCGCCCGATTCATCTAGGTTACTAGATTTTTACTCGATTGCAACTACTGTGTAACGACAATGAAAATCTAGTAATTGGGTGATTACTAGATTTTTTCTAGTTGCAACTATCGATTTATCGCTCGATAATCGATCGATTTAATTATTACTCGATGCACCTGCAGACGCATCTAGTTAAAAGTTCCTTTTCCAACTAGTAATCTATATGGCAACTAGTCGTGTATCGCCCCATTATAGACGAAATGTATCTAGATTTTTCCCATAGATGATATTTGCTTGGGCCGAGGAGTAATTTAAAGTTGTAAACCCCCGTTTCACAACAAAAGTACTCTCTGTCACGAATGAAACAATATCTTACGAGGGAACCTTTCGAGATGTCCCCTTCCGGTTTTGTACATGGATCGATAGACCTCAGAGAGATGGTAAATACCCTAAAAGGATTCGTACCCATGACGCTTGAAGACTCGTTTTTCTGGAACACCAGTTTTTCAACAACTCTATAAAATAACCCAAACCTTTTTTTAATGAGAGATGAGTGTAGCCCGCAAATTTCTGACTAAAATGAGACATCTTCCAGCTCTACATGACCTTTCTTTGCAAAGTTATGGAATTTTCAAGATAAGCCCTAAATTAACTTTTTCTTTCTTATTTCTGTGGCTTTGAGCTGACAATGAACATTTAGGGCTTGCCTTGTAAATTCTATAACTTTGCAAAGAAAGGTCATGTAGAGTTGAAAGATGTCTCATTTTAATCAGAAATTGCGGGCTACAATCATGTCTCATTAAAAAAGTTTTTGGTTATTTTTAGAATTGTTGAAAAACTGGTTTTTCAGAAAATCTGATCTTCAAGAGACATGGACACGAATCCTTTTAGGGTATTTACCATCTCACTGAGGTCTATCGATCCATGTACAAATCACTGGAATCGAAAGGGACATCTCGAAAGGTTCCCTCGTTAGTCACAAAAACTCTACACATCTATACATACCATCATTATTGTGTTTATTTATTAAACCTTCATTTTCATATTCTTGCAATTCCCATTGAAAAATATGTTGTCGAAAATAATATTGTAATTGTTCATTTGCAATATTTATACATAATTGTTCATATGAATTATGAACAAATTCTTCAAATCCGAATACATCAAGAATTGCGATTGTTTGCCATTGTTGTTGTTCATCATGTTGATGTTGTTGAGAAATATTTGTTTCTTTTCTATCTGTAATAAATGTTTTTTGAAAATCATCATAATTATTCATCATTTTATTATAATCTATTGTTTTTGATATTATTGATGATGATGATGTTGATGTTGTTCGATTTTTAAAACTTGACCTATATTTAATATCTGATTGATGTTTCTTTTCTACTTCATTTTTAAAATAACGATTCATACCATACACAATCCAGTCAAATAATCGACTATATAAAGCTTTGGCCATTGAATCTCTTGTTTGTCTAGCTTCATCACAAGTATTATATTTAATAACGGTTTCACCACGTGTCATTAAACTTGATTCACACAATGAATGTTCTAATTGATTTTTTTCAATAGAAAATAGATTACTAACAAACGGTACATATTGAATTGAAGTATGAGTTATTTGACATCCACGATGATTTTTATCAGCTGTATCATTACCATCCGTTATTTTATTAATAAATTCAATATTTCCTAAATATAATATTCCATTTAATATATTTAATATTGATGAACATTCGTCAGCATCAAAATTTAATTCATGAAATGTTTTAAAAATGTTTAAAAATGTTTCAATATCAAATTTATTATTTGTACAATCACCAAGATATGAATAATTTATTTCACGATTAAATTGAGAATATTGTTTTAAATTTTCTTTCCAATTTTTTGAATCAATTTCAAATATATTTTCAAATTCATTATGTCGTTTTAATGATAAAAAATGTTCATATAAATAATAGAATATGTGAAAATTTCTTTCACCTGTCATATGTTTAATTACACGCGTTTTTTCTAATAAAAATTCAGATAATTTTGATCCAACAATAGTACCATTTGGAGAAAAAAATATTTCTAACAATTTTCCAAATCTAACATAAAATAATAACAAATATCTACCAGAAATTAGAACATTTTATTTATCTACCTACCGTGATGAATTGTTATTTAAAATTGTTTTTGCATTACCAAATGCTTCTAGCAATAAATTCATTTTGATTAAACGATTTTCTAATGTACGATTTTCATTACCATCATTGTAGCCTAATAATGCTAATTCTGTTAAAACACTTTGTGCTGAATGAGTTTTACCTGTTAAATTTCCAAAAAAGAAAAGAAGAAAATAACAGTTTATACATGAAAAACATTTATAATGTGTTATAAACACAGAAACAATCTTGTATCTCATTTTTTATGAGCAGTTCACAGTTGTATTCTCGCTTCGATGAATAGTTGACGCGTTGTCACAAATGGAATATATTTTTTACGCGTGCCCACACACCATTTTACGATGTTCACGTGGTCGATCACAGTTCAGAGTTAGAACCTGGCCGGTGCCAGTCCGATCCGGTGTAAAAGTTTAGACTGGCCAGTTTCCACCGGTCTTTTGCCGGTCTTGAAATATTTTCAAACCGGCAGGTGATCGACCGGTTTTAAATTCTTAACATTTTTCTCTTCTTCGTTCAAGAAAACTGACCTGTTGAACAAGTTTGCAGAAAAATGAACTGAAGAACAGATTCTCCGATCCGGTCTGCTGTTTTGAACCGGCCGGCTCGGTCTCTAATATTTAGACCGGTTCCAACTCTGCCACAGTTCATTTCACAATGGTCACACGTGTACACGCTGTTTTATATACGGAAATTTCTCCGTGAGTGTGGTTGATGAGTGTGTATGGGAACGACGAGAACTCTCCATTAAGCTAGTCTTTTGACCAGAGCTGCGTTTGATGACAAGTAACGATATAAGTAATCAAGTCGGACGCTTGTCAACTGTAGGAAAGATATCGAGCTATTGAAACTGACACGTGTCAGTACCTTACACGGATACCAGTAATCAAACAAGACAATAGACAATGTATTCTTTCTTCTTCCTTGTTAAAGAGTGAATACATACTTTGATTCGAACAAAAGTACTTGCCTGATCCCGATTCACCCGATATTAGAATACATTGTGATTTTCCTGTAACAATCATTTGATTATAGACATTTTTTGCTATTGAATAAATATGTGGTAATAATTGAGTGTATGATTGTTTTGAATATTTCAATTGAAAATATAAAGTATCAATAGGTAAATATTGTTTTGGATTAATGACAATTAAAATATCACCAATATACGTATAAATAAGTGTTTTTTCGAATCGTCTTTTCAATGATTGAATTAATGTTTGTTCATCAAGATAAGCTAATTGAGCTAAATCATTTTCATTATCAATATCGTTTGGATTTTTCTGTTTACTCATCCATGGATTATCATTTTCAGTATCATTTTCAAAAGAAATCGATAAATTATGTTGTTTATTGTAACGTAATGTCCTATCCTTGTGCGGAATTGAATCTATTGGTATCGACAAATGAGTTGTTTTTTTAGGCTCATCGAAAACAGAGCTATCTTTGACCCTTAGTTTTGAATCATTTTGTTTGATATAGGCAACATGTTTACTAAAAACATTGCTGTTATTTTCTCCAATATCGCCTGTTGTAGTTACATGATCAACAATTTTTGAAGTTTCATGTAATTGTTTTAATAATTGTCTATAATATTCCAATGTTTCATTATCAACATTAACAAATGTATTCTCAGTTAATAATTGTTTGGCTGTTGGTCGTTGCTCATAATCTTTGATTAAACATGAACTAATAAAATTATTAAATTCATTTGACCACAATGATGTATTTTGTAAACTTGGTGGAGGATTTCGTGGTATATCAAATAATGCTTTTGATGGATGAATATGTGATAATGGTGGTTGACCTTCAGCTAATTCAACTGCCGTAATACCCAATGACCAAATATCACATCTTTCATCGTATTCATAATCAAACTGTTGTTGACAAGCAATGATTTCAGGAGCCATAAATAAAGCTGTACCCACACATGAATTTCGTTTCTGTTTCTCATCAGTTCCAAATGAACCTGATACGCCAAAGTCAATTAATTTGATACCATAGGTTAATGTCACAAGCAGATGACTACCTAAAATGTTTTACCTTCATCATCTAAAATCATGTATTATTCAAAGTATTATAACGTACCTTTGACATCTAAAAATAAAAATATGATTATTAAATTATAAAAATTTCAAGTTTGATGTGTCATTCAACAAACCTCGATGCATAATACCATTTGAGTGTAAAAACTGAAGAGCTTCTAATGCCGAATGAATAGCATAGATTGTTACTTTTTCTAATTGTTGATTAAAATCGTAGATGAGAATGTCTGCCTGATTTATTGTTTCAAATGATTGATTTTCACGTATTCTGTTTAAAAGATTGACAATTGTTCCATACTCACACAATTCCATGACAAACCATAAACATTTTAAATTTTTATTTTGTGATGATAGTTTTATCTTATGAGTATCTTGTTCTGATTGTTGATCATCATCTTCATGTTCACAATATATTCCAATAAATTTTGGTAAATTTGGATGAATAGATAAATTTTTAAGAATTTGAAATTCATTTTGTATTTCATCGGCAATATCAGTAGCAAATGTACGCACAATTTTTGCTGCTGCATGTACATTTTCTTGATTACGGTGGCGAACTCTAAACACTTCTCCAAATGTTCCCTGTCCAAGTTTTTCAAGTAAAACCCATTCGGTGTCAGGTTTTGGCAATAAATCATCAAGCTAAAAGGATAAAAACCAGAAAATTTTGACTCTCCTGACATTATTATTAGAACGTGAATTTAAAAGATTATGGAAATACCATTCTTTCGATCCTGGTTAACAGATTTTTAAGAAAAATTAGATAAAAGATCTCGATTATGAAAACTAAGTTTTTTTTATGGCAAAATCATTGATTAGATCATGAGAAAAAATCTATTTGAGCATATGCTAAGATAAACATGCTTTAGATCTCGCAATATTTGAGTGCATAAATTGTCTTTATTCTCCATCTAATTTCTACTAGTTTTCCAGTAAATATCCAGTTTCATGTATTTAACAAAAAAAAAATGAAAATAGATAGAGAAACACTCCAACTTGTGTGATGAGATACCATCATTAGTACCAATTGGAGAAATATGTATGCTAATATAAAGAAGAACATAGATTGTCAAATGATATGATATGTTTCCTTGATGACGGTATTATATAACACGTACATTTCTAGTTAGTAAATATGTTGATATTCTTTTCAAACTCTAAATATATTTCCCTACCAACCAGATCGCTAAATCATTGTACGATATAAAGATTTAGTTTTCTTAACCAAGATCTTTTGCATGTTTCTTTACAAAATTTTATCAATGAGGATCAAAAGTATGTTATTTCTGTGATCATTTCTCATATTATCCCTTATTATTGTATCAAAAAAACAATGCTGTCATTCTTGCTATTGCATGTCTACAAAAACTTTAAACTGAATGACTATATGACGTGTTAGCTAGATTCAGGACAAATATATACTCATCTTTCAAACTTTTTCTTATTCTACTAGAATGAATTTGAATCGAGATATATTATCATAATATTAACAAGTCTTTCGTTATAATATTTTAATATCTAAGAGATTATTTATCAAAAAAAAATTCATTCTTCACATAAGGCAGAGATGTGAATTCGATTTATTATATATTTTCAAGTAAAAAACTTATGCACACTTTGTTTGATTACTGTTCTGATCGTCTTTCTCTAGAAGACATAGATATAAACACTGTAGTACAGCTTCCTTTACAATCTCTGTACTAAGATATTATAGGATTTAACGAAAAACAAAACATTGTTCGGTACATTCAATATGAAGAGAAGATTTTTGTTTTTTATTCTATTAACGAGTCTAATACGAATATCCTTATCAATTTTCTAAACGGAAATACTAACAATATACATACTTGTAATTTATTATTTAGTGTTGACATCATAGTATAGATTAAAAGTTTAACATTTATCTGTTATCTTTCTTTTAATTTATTGTTCAATCATTACTAATAATTTCTAAATTTTTTAATCTCTGTTCTTTCATCTTCGTTTCTTTTTTCTCATTGATCATGCAGCAGACTCGTTTAAATGAAACTGTGAAAGGAAGGATGCCTTTTAACATTATTATTATTATGTGTTTTTGTTTAATACATCATTTGACACGTCTTACCGGGAAAAAAAAATGAAAAAAATAGAAAAACGTAATTTTTATTTTTCTCTTTCTATATTTGTGTATATGTGAGAAATTGTTTTACTTCTAGTTCAAATGACATTAAAAATTGTTCCTCATTTTTGTTGATATCTCTATCTGTTTATTAAGAGAAAAATATATAGAATTTCATCACCACGCACCTTCTAGCGTAAATTCTTTATTTCTCATAATAATAATAATCTCTCCGGAAGATGAAAAATAATAAAATAGAAAAAAAAAAAAAAAAAATAGATGAAAAATAAAATGTCCATATCTTTATCATGTGTGTGTATAGATCTTTACGCCGTCTTTCATAGTCAATTTAGTAGTTTGACAAATATAAAACGGAATACGAAAAGCACAAATGACATCAGTTTGAGTTAAATTTCTTTTTATTATACTCAATTTAGTCATGTATACAGTAGTAGTTTAATCATTGTAATGATGTTTCATTCTTCAATATACTTCTTATTTAAAAGTTCGTTCAATCAAGTTAAGTACATTAATAAATACAGAATTTTATTAAATCACTATAGAATATAAACAATTTAGAAAATATAATTTTTAACATTTGATTGTCATTTTTTTTTTAAAAATTATTTATTTAATTAAACAATTTAAAAAAAAAAAAGATCTTATTATCAAAATTTGTCATGATCATATGAGGTCGAGTAGTCTTTGACAATTAATAACAAGTGGAGACAAATTATAAAAGAAAAAATATAATAACATTTTAATGTTGATAAACATTGTAAAGCATTTCTTTGAGAGTGTTTTTAATTCATTTAAGTGTCTTCTAGGTGATGCGCATCTTCCTGTGATAGAACATGTTGTAAGACATTGAGTTTATTTATTTGTTAAACATTTTTTACAAAGTTATGATTATGAGATGATCATGGTAACGAAATACGACTTTTACTTTTTGAAACTGAATACTTTCACTCTGATTTTACATTCAGCTCTATTGACAATAATTGCTTTTTTGTACATAATTTGGATAGAGAATAATATGAAGAAATATTTCAGTTAATATGTAACTTTGATGATAAATTGCATTGTAAACGAATATGTCCTGTTTTTGATAGTACTGTTTCTCACTTGATGAAAGATGAAGGTAGAAAAACTGATACTATAAAAGTTGATAGAAAAATGTTTGTACATATGTTCTAATAAAATAGAAAGAAAACGAATTGTTTAATTAACTATAGACAATAAACGTGAAAGAAAAACTTTTTTTCCTTCATTCTATGGTAAATTCTGAGGAAAAAAAAGTCGACAACAAATCCAAATCTCAAATGAATTTGTTCTGCTTGATTGTGTACTTGATACAACTCATTTGATAAACTTGATAATAAAAACGGTGGACAAAGAAATGATGGTAGTGATGTATTTGAATAATCGATAATCAGATTTCTTACTCGTAATTGAAAAATAATACACAATAAAAACATTTATTGATTATAGCATAATTGAACAGATCTAATTTCTAATTTCATTCATCTTGTTTTCAGTTCATTTTGATAGCAATGTAAAAAAATACGTCGTTTCCCACAAATAAATATTTCGCTAATGAAACTTGATAGCATTTCATATTCCGTTCTTTGCCGATGATGTTATTTTAATCAATACTAATTCTGTTCAATTATTAATTACATCTGTGGACGTTCATATTACGAAGTTATGTTTAAAAACTAACGCATTTTTATTGAAAGATTCTCCATAAATGTACTTTTGAAATGATATACAAAACATATGTATTATCTTTATTTACATTCAGTACTGGAATCTATTATTTGAGAATGTTCGATATTTACCAGCTTTAACTTTTTTGGCTATAATAAAAAGATTCTGTCGTATAACAACTTTGAATATTCTTGAATGGCTAAAGTTTAGATACCATTTCAAAGTGAAACGATTACTAAAATACTTTAAAATAATTCGTAATTTAGCACTACTATATATAATAAATCACTATAAACTAGGACGTAAATATTTATGTCATAAATCATAAAATAATAATAAAGATATAATCAAAAGAATATCTTCTATTGCTAAATTTTTCTTCAATTTTTAAAGAATAGAACGATTTTAGATTTGAAACTCTGAATACACAATTATTAACAATATAACATCTACATAAATCATTGTTTAATAAAAGTCATGAAGTCTGGATAGTCTACTAAAACAACTTTAACATTTATAATTTCATTCTCGAAACATAGAAAGTATTTTTTATGCGATTAAAAATTGGATTTCTGCAACAAAACTATTATTTGTATCAGAGAAATCTTGTAGATAGCCCTGTATATGGGTCACGGAGAAATGTCTGTCCTAAATACGACAATGGAAGAACTTCTTTAGTGAGTGAGCTCACTTTCTTAAATTTTCAACTTAACAGTATTTAAATCACATCACCATATTTCCATGTAGTCAAATTGAAATCACAGACACTGATGTAATTTGTAAATTCGTTCAAAATATGAAACGATTCGTGAAGATTACTGGACTTGTTACTTAACAATAAAATACAAACCACTTCTCCCTGGAGATCTATTTTGCAACTTCTTCAAAAAAAAAAAATAGCAATCACACAAATTAGAAAACTGTCGTTCTACTCTATGATTAAACAAAGACATTTTCACCTTTTGTCAATGTGGTCTATCGTTAACAATTCAAACTCAAAGACATGTCAGAGCATATTAATAGTTATAAGTTTGCTTACTTACTTGTAACAAATAATTATATAAAAATGTTAAAGATAGACAAATCGGATGTTGAAAAATACACTTTAGAATCAATCAAAGAATTATAACATAATAATGATGAATTCGAAAAATTGCACGAGAAAGCAGAATAAAGTGGAAGATTATGAATAGTTTATTAGAATATGAACATTGACTAGTTGTGAAATAAGAAGTAGAAAATGGAGAAATATTTCATGGGAGAAGACATTTGTACAAATAAGTCGACAAAATAAATGATATTTTAACAATCAATCTGATCAAATTATTGTCTTCGACAATAGAATGGCGTTCTCGACTATCATAGTCAATGAAAATAATTTCAAAAATCGAGAAAATAGTATTGTGAGTATGACACGTGTACATGCAGAATGTATGTTAACATTAACATGTGATCTTTCACTCGTTCTTAATAAATTATAATCAATAAAATTGGATTCATTAAAGGACGAGAACGCATTAAACGGAGCATTAGCCTACTCACGAGGGAACCTATCCAACTGTCGGACGCCGTTTGACTCCATATTTTGGCTATAAGTAGGACTCAGTGAGACTAAGAAAATCCTAAAAGGGTTCGGGCCCATGACTCTTG